GTTGCACTACCCGAAAACAGGAGGCCGTACGCACCCAGAGCGCGCATCGTACATGGTCAAGGATCGCAGCCGAAAGGCGATAGACAACACGTACGTAAATGAATTAATGAATTAATTAATTAAGGCACATTAACGCCCGAGTCTGATACCAGAAACAGTGCAGTTGCTTCAGGACTGACCTGCTCCGTCACAGGCTGAACAAGCACGCGGTAGTGGCCACTAGCTGCAGCTGCGCCCTGCTTCGATGCAGCCTTGGCGTGCTGCTTGGAAAGCCCCTTTCCCAGATCTTGAAGCACGGTGGCCATGCAGCCGAAGTAGTGCTTGCCCAGAAACACAACCTGTTTACGCAGCAGAGCACCACCTTCAAAACAACTATATCTCAATGGTGTTTACCTAGAGACGCCGTGCCAGAACCAGAGCCGCACACTGCCGCGCTAGGATAGACTGAAGCTCCAACAGGGCACAGGGCGTGAAGAAAATCATGTGCCCCACCCACCTGCATGCCATCGTACAGAATCGGGTATCCGGGCACGCCGTCGGCTCCTACCGTTCCTGTTGCCAGCGGCTGGGGCCTATGTCGAATTACTGCCTGCAGCGAAAGAGGCGCGTTCATGTCAAACCGGACACATTTACAGTCGTCGTGTTAGGCACTTACTGCTCATGCCACATCACATGGTTTACACTGGCACGGGCCTGCGCTATTTGAAAAGGCGTGCATGACTTGCCTGCAGCGGAACCTGGACCTCGTCCTTCGAGTAGGTCTTTTCAATGGTACCGTCGCCGTGGCGGATGTAGCCCAAGCACACCTTGACACCCACCTAGACACGCAAGCATCACAGCCCGCTCAGCATATTTGGGTGGGATGATAAGGCGTCAGGGCAACGACGGCCTCAGAAGGCACAGATGGCGCAAGCAGTGCTTACCACCAAGTCCACTTTGCCCACATCGATTCCGCATCGTGTAAGAAACGTGGTCGCCAGATGGGCGGCGTCCGTCTCCCACCGCTGGGTCTCCGATTGCTGCCAGCGTTGGACCTGTCCAGGCGCACCCGGGCGCAGGGCAGGATTGATTGGATAGCAACTCACCGTAACAACTGGACCTCTCCACCAGGCACACAAAGGAACACAATGATGCTTGCAAGTTGCTCTTAATGCACAAGAGTTCTCCGCGTTAGGAAGACCCTTAGGCTGCATCCCGCACCGCACCATTTCTCACAGGCAAATGATTGTGTAAAGGGGGTACAGCTTCACTAGCCTGCTAGCAGTCCCCCTACCACCTTCCGCAATGTTTCGGGGCACCCTCATCCTCCTCATCACCCACGCGTGCCAAGGTTTACGAAGTCAAGTGACCTTTTCGGGTTCAGCACCCACCACCAGCACCCAGCGGAATCTGCCGGATAGACAGCTCCACTCCAGGTCGACTCGCAGGTCTCTCACTATAACCGGGTCCCTCACCGTCCGTCGGCATGGGAATGCATCCACCCTCTTATCATGGAGGGATTTCTATCCATCCTATGTCAGGATCGACTCTGGAACCTTCCAGGGACACTAAGCCATGCCTTGGCATACTTGCTGTGTCTGGAGCCGTATGAGCAAATGTATTACTTGGGTTAAGGAGCGACCCGTCCACAACTTTGTAAAGCACTGTCTTCACCATTACAGCTACCGGTACATCGTACAATGCCCCCAATCCGGCTCCTCACCTTGACTGCGCCCTTGTTGTCATACGAAACCTGGCTGCTGCGGTCAGACACACGCACAACCCTGGCCTCCTGCAGGTAGGGCCAGTTGATGTAGGCCCGAGTTCCCAGCAAGCCGGACGTGGCCACCTGTTCTGCGCTGAGGACGGCCCCGTTGAGGGCCTCGCGCAGGTCCTTGAGCCCCAGCACCAGACTCTCCTTGCGGCTAGGAGTGCCCAGTACGTTTATGCCAGCGTTACGGAGTGACGGGCGGACCTGCGCAAGGACCGACCGATTACCAGGGGTTTTATACCAGGATCTGCTCATACCTAGCTATAACAGGATTTGCTTATACACAGGTAGTATAAGTCATCCGCTGGGCTCCATCATGATGATGGAAGACTCTCACAGAGGGAAGACGGGAGCGCACCTGCAGCGACTTCATCGTCGGCATACCCGCAGGCGTATTAAGTCCCACACGGGTACCGGGCACCAAAACTGGCACGAAGCCCTTTCCACCCAGCGGCAGTGGCGGTGGCGGAGGCCGCTCTTGACATCGACTGTGGCACACCTATGGGGGAAGGCAGGAAGTGCACAACGTGTTCTTCATATGGTCTGTACATCGAGATAACACGACATATATCTGTGAAGATAATTCCGAGCAACCCATTCTACCAAATGCAGCACAATGGGCTCGATGAGTTGTTCCACGCCTGCTGCTCTTGCGTGCAGACGTAAATGACAGAGTGACGGCGCACCTTCAAGTCCCGAAAGTGTTTCGGCATGGTCGAAGTGCAATACTTCTCCTCCGTCGAGCTTCGGCTGAATTTGAAGATCTGCAGAAAGGTACAAGGCAAAAAGAACCGGGCCGTCATACACCAGCAATCCACAATCCTCGGCATCGCAGCCATCAAAACAGCCGTGCTGCGGCCGCATGATGCCAAGTTCCAATATGCATCGCACTGTACGCGCATAGCATAACGTGCTATTAGAAAAACTGCGTTTGGACTGGGAGGAAAATGACGAGCGGCTTGGCTCACCTGAATCACCCCCAGCTGATTCCGCGCAAGCTCCTCGGGAGAGAGTAGTGCCGTCTTGACGGACCGGGCAGCATTGAGAAGCCGGACCTGCACATGCCCAGCCCGACACGTGCGTTAAGCAGCACTCAAGGACGGCACTGGCCGCCTTGATGGCGCCGCGATGGCCAACAAGGTGTCAAACCTGGAAAAAGTAGAGTATGAGCTGACCAAACATGAAACCGGGAATGTTAGATACCCGTCCCTAGAGCGTACGCGCGTGCTCATGGGACATCCCGCGAGGCGATGGGGCACAAATGCAGTCTCGTGAACTCACCTCATCCACAAACGGCACCAACACCACGCCCTCCCAGTCCGCCCGCTTTCCCTCCATGTCCACCTACACATGCAAGCAAACGCGGCACTGCTTCGATCCCCAGGAGTACAGGGGTGGGACTGTTAGCTCTGAGCTACGTGGAAGGATGCCATGCTCCACGTCGTTGATCGTCATGAATGCCACGTTGTAACGCGCAGAAACGAACGTTGTCCTTAACCAGGCAAGGCGATTTGTTACGTGGATATACCACATACAGTGGAAAGCCCACGACAGCACTGAGGATGGCAGTAGGGATTGCCATGTAAGGACTGCCATTAATATCACCTCGAAGGACGCAGGATAGAAGTCGATGATGGGGGACTCGGGGTCCGTCATTAAGACGCGGAAAGGCGGCGGTAGCAGCTTGCTGCTCGCCGCGGGCAGCACAGCCAACAGCTGCTCGAAAGGCCGGAAGGGGCTGCCCTGGGCAAACGCAACCTGAAGGCGGGGAGAGCACAAGGCATTAACCAAAACGCGCCGCAATTACAATTGCACTGTCAGACCTTACCACGTCATGGGATGCATATCTGCGCACCCGGACGCACCTGGATGGCATCAAGGTTGGACATATCAGATGCCATCGGGGCGTAATGGTAAGGGTAGTACCAGTCCCAAGACGCCACGCCGCGATAATAGTACTCCAACACCCAATGAAGGCCCGCCACGTAGTGCTCCACTACCATACGCCGGTCCTCAGGGCTATACGCGTGGAGTTTCTCATTGTAGAATCGGTCCTGTTATACGAGGTATACGCGGAACACGCGGTTTGGAACCGCGATCAAAGACAAGGTTAAGACACCTTCATTACCGCGCTTTGACAGTAGTTATAATACAGCTACCAGGCGGCAGCTACCTGTCCGATCGGAAAAGGCGATAGGCGGCAATGAAGTGCATATTCATCCCCTCACCTTCCAGAACTGTAGCCCCTGCTCGCCCAGGCCCGCCATCATCATCTGACGTGCCTCCTTGCTCATCATGGTCGGACCCTGCTGCGGTATCACTCCTGGCCCCTTCCCAGCCGTGCCTTCTGGTTCTAGGGCCTCGTTCGAGAGGTCCGGCGACGAACCAGGGGGCTGCAACACCCGCACACCCTGGTCAAGTTCATTCAGCTGCGTGCGTGGACCACCCATACGTGCCGCGCGCTTGGCTCTCTTCGACTCAAGGAATTCTGCATCCTGCGAGACAACGGCAGCCATGAGCGAAGTGAGCAAACAGACAAACATAATGCCAATCCAACCCATCGCGGCAACCGGCTTCCGTTGTCCTCAAAGCCTTAGCTACCCAAGGCAAATGCACATCCGACCGGAAATGCGACGATTCATCTTTCCTCAACGCCACATCCCCGTTGGTCACTAGTACATGGCCGCAAAGCCGAATTGGAGCAGTCATGACCTGCTCCCGCACACCTGCGCACGCTCCTCCAGCGTCTGAAGCTCCATCTGCCCGATGCGCTCCAGCAGCACCTCCAATCGACGGCGGTCGAGGTCACCCGCGTATGTCAGATATCCACCTAGCGTGGGCAGGAGCTCCTTATAGAGGTCCATCAGCTTATTGAGAGCTCCCTCCGCGATATCTAGCGTCGGAAGTGCTGCGACCGCAAAGGAGGCACCGAGTTAACCGAAGCTTGCAGAGGAAGAGAGAAGGCTGCTCACACCACTCGCGTGTCCTGCTAAGCTTGCTAGTAAAGCGCCACCTCCTTACCAGGCAGGAAATCGTTCCCGACCAACATACACAGCAGGACGTAGTCGTCGACAATTCGCTCCACATCCAGCGAAAAGGGTAGCTCCAGGTTGCCAAACTCAAGCTCAAAATATTCGCGCAGCAACCTATATTGTCATCCAAATGAACTCGTCATGGTTGGGCTTAACAGCGCCGCACATGCGGGTAACCTTTGGGGACCCCGACGCACTCTTTTTAGCATTCCACGCACCCGATCTGGAAGAGAATGAAGTTCTCCGCACACGGGTTCTCCAGCACCTCACGCGCGGGCTGCCCCCGGTTACTGCCCGTGTACGAAACCACCTCGCGCAGCAGGCAAAAGTGTGGCTCGTGCGAGACCAGCGATAGCATGATCAAGTCCGCATCCAGACCGTACATGCAATGGCGCTGGTTAGGCGCATAGGTGGGCTGCCGCTTGTCCCAACGAATATACTCCATAATCTTATGTTCGCCCTCTCCGGGCACCTCATGGCCTTCACGCAGAGACGAAAGAAAAAAGTTAGATCTTGATCCTAATTCTTCGAAGGGGCATCGTCTTTGCAACACAGCAGTACACATGGCTAACTTACGTAGAGGTATCCACCTGAAACGCTCCCAGCATAAGACATTCCCTGCGCATGCAATATACCAAACCCTACAATATCTCGCTCCAGCCAGCCAGCCTACCTGAGAAAACCACGGTGGGCTTCTGCCACAGCGGATCTTCAGCCATCTTCCGGCGGATGAAGAAGCGTAAATGCTTGCCGAGCCGGGCCATGAACTCCGTCCCAGGTGTAATGCAATTCGAGTCAAATGGGTCCTCTGGAACTGTCTCCCCTTTACGACGCTGCTCCTCCTCATTCTGACCAAAGAAAAAGTGTAGGGAAAAGTACATATGTTTAGTTTACCTTCCACATTTTGGACACAATCCCCGTGCAGAACTTCAGTGGCCGTGCAGGAACAGCATATAGTAGTCGGATAGGCGGAATGCTTTCATGCGCGTAAGGTGTTCGCATAAGGGGCGAACCCAGATGCATGTCGGTAGCCCAGTGCCGGGTCCTTCCTTGAGGATTTGGCCTTCACCTAGCACCGTAACAGTCAGCCCCCGTGGCTCGGGCATCTGAGGCTCATTTGGGCTGAAGAGAGGCGCAAACACCTCTCCCCCATAGTACCCCAAGGGCGCCCTACCTTGAGGCGTTCCATAGCTGACTTGAAGCGCCGGGACCGTTGCTGGTTCATTTTTGCGCGTGGGGCCACACCTGATACGGGTACCGTTCGCAACAAGTCAAGAAGGATTTGCGCACGATTTGGCATCGCCTTCGTCCCCTTAAATAACCACGACGACTTTACGCAAGACCTGAGCCCAGGGAAAGACCCACCATCTATTGCCATAAAGAGCAGTTTCTGAGGCCGCACAATTTGAATAAGCTTCTCCAGGTAATCGAAAACTTTTAGCATCATGTCCTCCTCTGTAACATTACCAACGTCCTTCCGATTCGCGTGCGTACAGTTGTGGATAATCCCATTCATGTCAAGATACAAATTGTCAATCTCAGGCGGGCCTTCGGTTAACGTAAGCTTCTGGTTTAATAGCGGATAACGCTCTGAGAGCCAGCGGTAAAATTTGGGGATGCCTGCGCAAACACAACGATGCGTATCTCCAACAACACCAGCCACAACTAGGCTGCATGACCATAAAAGTCAAAGAAAGCATGTCGTCACAAGCATGCATGGCATGAGGGCTGAACAGTGGCTCACCCATTTGCTTCACCCAAATCTAGGCTTCTGAAAAATCAGTTAATTGCTGGTTTCCAAGCTGAACTAAGGTCAACTCCCCAATGCCTCACAAATAATGCCAACGCAAAAACGTAATCGCTTCGGTTAGGTATGTCTATGTCGCCCAAATAAGGTGAGGGTTGTCCTTACGAAAGAGTAAACCTGCTACACTACATCCCCAATTGAGTGCCCCAAAATTAGGTTATTCCCGCGAGGTCCTGGGCGGTGCTAGCAAGACGTTTACGAAAGAGGGAACGGCATTTGTACGGCGAACGTTGTCAAGGCCGACACATAATCCGGTTATTGCCTCCTGCTCGGCCATAGTCACAAAATTGCTAGAATTTGTTAGAGAGCTTAGTGCTGTTGGCTCTCTTTTTTATTGTGCTTTAACAGAATTCAACTTGCTGTAAGTTGCTGCATCAGCGACAGTCTTGAACTTCACCACTTTTAATTTTTCCATGAGCACTTATACCTCCAAGTATTTGCTGTGTGGGATCCTTTTAAAGCTTTGAGGTCCGTGAACTTTCGCTACGGTACTGGACAGCAGCGCAGCGGTACACGCCATGTATGCATCAACGCCCGTGACTCCAACCGCATCCAGGCCACTACAGCAGCGCATAATCGGCCGTCTCACTTTGGCGCTGCACTGCACGGTCGCATGTGTGGCCTTAAGTATTGCCTTCGTGTTGTTTGACAACACACTGTTCGCTTGGCACCCGGCCTTCATGGTAAGTGGAGCGGTGAGGAGGGGGAAATAGGGCCATGTGTCCGAAGGGGACCCGGTGTTTCGGGTTGCAGCGACCACTGATGGTGGAAGACAAGAAAGCTACGCAGCCATAACTTCTCTAGGTTGGCAGCGTCCACACGCAAGCCCCCACCCCCTGTACTGCAGAGCATTGGCTACATTGTATTCATGACCGAGGGTCTCATCGCAGCTATCCACTTTAGGCAAATCGATGGACCAGAGCGCGTCAAAGCAATCTGGAGCCATGCGCTGCTCCAATTACGAGCTGTTATTTGCGTCATCATAGGTTTCGGCGTCATCTACAGAAGAAAGGTACGTGAACGTATGTCATTACGGTACGAGCCAGAGCGCCTGCAGTCCGAAAGCTAATTGGAGCGTATCCGTGATGGGACGGGTCAGCATAGAAACACTGAAGTGTGCACCGTCTTCCTGCTTGCCCATTGCAGATTATCCTTGGCAAGCCACATTTCGTGTCGCTGCACGCGAAGGTATGTCAGGTGCAGAAACATCAATAAACCCGCACCTGTGCTGAATGGTGTGATATGGGTGCGGAATTCGTCTGCATCACGATGAATATTGCTGACATGGACCTTGGTCCTTTAGAATGTACGCATTGGTGAGCCCCGTAATATCATTTAATAGTGTACGTCATAGGTTTCGGTGTGTATGGTTGCGTCTGACCTGCAATCTTTGTTGATGTGCCGGATGCAGTTCGGGCTTGCTACGCTCATCCTCAGCATACTCATGCCGCTGTGGGGCCTGGTAAGCTTCCGGAGAATGGGCATCATTCAGCGCTTCCCGGAGAGATGGCAGCCCCGGATTAAGGCCGCACACCGGCAGTTGGGGCTCCTGACGTGGCTGCTGGCTTTGGTTACCATTGAATTGGCATTACCACACCCGGCTGTGAACAAGGGCTGGCTTACCTTAGCGTGGCAGATAGGGGTCGGGCTTATTGCTGTTCTTCTCGGCTTGCTGTCCTTTAAGACGGTTGTGGGAGCTAAGCAGCTGGGCGGCCCAGAGGACGCCCTATGCAAAACAGTTTAGTCCATTAATTTCAACGCTGCCTGCTCAGCGTAGGCCACAGCTCTTGGCAGCAAGGTGGAATAGTTTGTATGCCGGGACATATCTGTTTTCAGATCATTTTTCCAGTGAACTGTGTGTTCGTATCGCGCATGCTTGTACCGTGACCCTTAGCCACCACATAAAATGTACGGGACCGTTAGCCCGAATCCTGGATGGACGGTGATCCTTGCCCTGCGTCAACGCGATGGATACCGGTTGATGAGCTACAGTACGATTTGAGCACAGCACGTTGCACACTTTGTGCGCAGTTTTGATGCAAGGCGATGGTTGACGTAAACAGAGGGCACACTTGGCGGGAGGTCATGAGCTCACCGACTTGAGTATGTCTTAGTGATGAATAATAGGATGTATACCTTATTGCGCAAATAAGGTGACGTCGCAATGCTCACTCTGCTCTTGGGCACTCAAAAGCCAAGAGGAACCCTACCTCATGTAAGAGTTCTTGCACAGGTGCAAGCTCTTCACACGCGTACGATGTTATCTTTCCCACATACCCTTGCATATTACGACAAGAAGGCAAGCAGCAGGGCCGAGTTGTGAAAACCCCTCGAGTATTGAAAACATTTAACCATGGCCCCCAATAAGTTTTTTCCTAAACATACTAGCATTTTCTTTCACGAGGCTGCATTTGCACTTATGCGCTTGTCCATGGTAAATGAGCTTTCCTACTCGTTGTCAAACGCTTGCGAATTGCCTAGTGCAGCAACCGGCAGTGCATGCAGAGTGCACAAGGCATAACAGGCACGACCTCCCGTGGGCGCAGATGAGCGCCAAGGGTATTCAGGGGAAGGCACGAAATATGTTTTACTGAAAAAGTACATACCGAAGTATGTTTTACTGAAAAAGTACATACTCATAATTACAATTTTCATTTTGGGAGAAACATTAAAGTATCCTGCCGGCAATACCATGAATATGGTTTGTCCGTGAACAAAGCCACGAACCGAAATTCCCCACATGCAGTATTCTTCTGGAATAATACATGTTCCATCACGATTGGGAAACGTAATCGATGAACGAAGCACGTAATCGCACGCCTTTTGAACGCTATTGGTGCATGTATCACGTCACTCATTTCCAACGCTACTCTTTTAAAACAAGTCATGACAATTAGTATCCATGGTAAAAAGAATAAAAGTAAATAGGATGATCGACATGCGACAGTCGGCAGGCTTATGATATCCGTGGCTTCTGTTGTACGCCACCCATCGCCTGGCACCTCACAAATCGTACTGCAGTTCATCGCACATGTGTCCATACCCCTCACGGCCGGGTAGAACTGTGATTGCCGTTAAATGAGCAGTTCGTTTCGGCTCTGTATCGAGCAGGATCTTATCTAACAACGAACGCGGCGCTTGCTACATATCCGCACTATAATTTGCTGCGCAGGACACAATGCACGCAAAATTATCTCTTCCTCGCTGCTGCAATACGCATCGGCTACAAACGCCCAGTCGCAACTGCAAGCACCTTGTAGCCGCTGTTCCAGTACATAGTGCTGCCATTATCAATCAGTCATCAGAGGACTTCTGTACCCGTAGACAACTTCTGCATATTGCAGCGCTGGTAGGCTCGTCCTTCCTCGTTGCCTCTGGCACAGCGGCTGCGGCAGCGAACAACGAGGTTGGAAGCTATCTGCCTGCTTACGGGACTGATGGATTTGTAAGTTTGCGGTCCTGCCCCAAATTCACTTAGTGCTCCGGAGGCAATTTTGTGATGGTCGTCCTCTGAATGCCTGAAGGCTTGCATTATCACAGACATAGGTGAGCCATGCTCGATTGTTGTAAATTACTGGGTATTGGGGAGAGCAGATCGTGTTATTGGAGATCAACTGTTTACTACTGGCTCTAGAAATGGAGGGAGTAGCTCGGGTTGAAGCGCGACCAAACGGCAGATATACCGACAACTGGACAGCGGCAGGTATACCGATAAGTACTGCTTCGCCGGCAGGTGCTCTTTGTGCCGTCTACGTCGAAGACGCCAGCTCTACGTGCTGGAACCGTGGACAACACTTCTCCGTACCGGTTCGCGTTGCCTCCGAATTTCGTGGAGCAGAAAGTCGCTAACATCCAAAGTGGAAACTACTGTCAGCCGCGTTGCGACGAGCCCTGGACAGGTGGGGGGCCATGCACGTTGGCACATGTGCTATGCCTTGCGCGCTAGGGCTGTGTGCGTGTATTGCACCAAACTGCATGAGGACTCCTCCTCAGCCGGGCAATAGCAACGCATGGCAACGTGCTAGAAGTTAACGGTGCATCTCGCACCAGCCCCCTGTGGTCTCGTGGACACCTTGCGTCGGTGACGCAATCTGGTAAATGCACAGTACGCACGGTACGCACATTTGAAATGTCGTCGTTCGCTCACCTCGCGGCATACCTACATACCTACCTACCTACCTGGCCTGTGCCTCTCCTGCAGAGGTCGTCTTCGAGGGGACGCAAGGGGGCCGGGTCGAGCTTATCGTGTCACCCCTTCAAAAACTCACGCCACGGAAGAATGTCAAGGTAAACCTTATTACCTCAGCTCCCCCGTGCAAGAATGGCAGCTCCGAGTTGCCCTGGGGTCACATCCGTGTGGTGCCTTCTCCTGCCACCATCTGCAGGTCGAAGATCTAGGGACGCCTGACCAGCTTCTAGAGCGCGTGGGCAATTACATCACAGGTAGGGTAGTTACCGCACGGGTGGCTCTCGACACGGTCATTGCGTTGTCAACTAACTAACTTAACCAGGTCCATTTGCATTAACCTACCTGGGTCTCCGTCAGGCACGTATCTGGACGAAGATGCGCTGGTGGCCACAGGCAGCCGCACACAGGACGGCCTCACCTAGTAAGTACTAGTCGGGCGCTACTCGTCGTCCAACAGTTTCTTAATTGCGTGCGTAGCTCACTGTCTCGAAGCTTACATGTATGCCGTGTGCTCATCTTTCTTTCAACTGGGGGGGCTCTTCACCGATACATGCACAGTGTCCGCCATCACCATGTAGTTCAGGGATATGCGGTGGTGGCACGGGGCCCCGGGCAAAGCTTTGTCGAACCTCCAAAGTGCGGCTCCTGTATCCCCAGCTGCTGACTATGGCCTCTTGCTGCACACTGATGTGAATTTCCACAGCTACTTCTATGAACTCAATGCGCCTTATGCCAAGACGGGCGCTCACTCGTACACGGCATGCACGGTCAAGGTGGGATTGCCTCTTGGCAAACCGTAATCATATGCGTGTACCCATAATGCTAGGAGGTGGTTTTCACGTGCGTTACGTGCCTAGGGGGCTATGAGGCAAGCAGGCGGAGTTGTGGTGACTAGCGGATTCATGCCGTAAAGTCCCATTCTAACGTCAAGCCTAGTCCACATATCTATTAGATCGTTCATCTACGGATCAAGGATTTGTCTCTGGCAGTGGACTTCATCGTTTTGTGGAGTTAAGAACCAACAGACTGTCCGCACTTGGCTACGCGTGCCATATTTTTGTCAATTAGAACTGTGGCCTTGAACAGCACAGCAGCAGTCCTGGGCTGCGTTATCGCGCGGCATGCCTTACTATCCAGCGCGAAACGCGAAACGTATTACGCAGCAAATTAAGAAATCCGGGTTGTTGCCCTCTGTGGCGGCGCTCCGTTGTCATATGCGCATTTAATTGCCTTGTTGCCTGCTGCAAGGAAGGCCTGTTCTAACGGTTGCACTTGGTCCCATCCGGTTCAGGGCGACCTTGCGTTTCTCTTTGTGGCGAGCGCATCAGAGAAGCAGTGGGGCAAGCTGGAAAGCCGGCTTCGCCAGGTCGTGGAGAGCTTTCGCGCATGAGGCACCGGCTCAGATGACTTGCGGGAGTTGATTGTGTTGACTATAATAATTAAAGCTCGTTGGCGTACTGCATGGAAAGCGCGGCTCCATATTGCATTCTGGAGAGTAACGCGAAGAGGGAGAGAGAGTGACAAGCATCCGCTGCCAGTACAGAAGGCCGCATCTCCGCCAGTATATAGTACAGTGGCGTGCACATGCGCAGGGATGATGGGCACTGTCCAGAGGGGTATGGAGCCACTTGCAAGTAGTACTAGCAGGATGTAGGGAGCAAGCTTTGGAGGAGGACGGCCTCGGGGCTAAGTAGCCGTCATTCGGTGCGGAGTACCGAGCAGGCGTCTATGGCACCCAGGTACGATACGGAGGCCCTCAATATCTGGTGGCTAGATGGTGCATACTGCTAAAGGAGCAAAAAAATGCGAGTCTTAGGTACGAGTCGGAACAGATGGCTAAATTGACTCGGAAGTGGGTTGTTCGGAGCAGTGCTTCTGGCTTGCCGGTGATCTTGCGGTTAGTAAGCTCTATTACGTGTAGCCGCCCAAGTACTCCGAGGGTGTGAACGTTGCACATTGGATGCCGCTCTTAATATGCGGGACCCTTGACTGAAAGTTTCTGATCAAACAGCAGAAGAAACACCTATCCAAATCATCCATACGTGCTTTCCAACTTAGGGTTTTCTCTGGAAAAGCCTCAAAGAAGCCGGCGGAAGTACGGCAATTCCTATGGCAGGTATAACCAGCAGAAGGGATCTGATCTGCAGCTAGCTGGCACAGTTCCAACCGTCCAACCGAAATTCCATCTGCAGACCGAATTATAATCATACCAGACGACAGAACGAACAACAAAATAAGGAAAATTTCTTTATGATTTCACGCCTTGCGAAGGACTCAAGCTGCACATAACTGCATCACATACCGCCGCTGCGGCTAATGTATGTAAATGCTGTTGCCCTAGACAGGTAGTAGCACGACATGCAAGCTATGCGATATGGGTAGTCGCCCATATAACATGCCCTGGCCACACCGGCAACTTATGGAACGCCGACGGCCGCCACCCTGACCTCTTGTAACTCTAAAAAAGCACAATGCCTGCACCGTCACCTCCAGATCGTGATATAGTTTATTGTTGGATACCAGCAATGAAGTTATGCAGTCCTGCAAAACTTTGCTGTCAAATGCAGCTTCGTGTCGCTGAATGTACGTATGAGTGCTGACGGGTATTCTCAGCTTCAGTATGCAACGGCAACCCTGCAGCTGCTCGTCATGTCAAGTACCGAACATCATTAGCCCCTGATGACTTCCCGAAACTGGCCTACTTCAGCCCATGCACCTGTATGCCTCCGGTACCAACACTGGGAAATGTCACCTAGGATGGCGCTTGGGTCTGCACATCAGAGTGCGCGGCATCACCCATGCTCGTCGCCAGTGTCGCTTGCCTCTGGTATATATACCAGCGGTCATGTAGTTGTGAGATGCCCTGCGACGCCCGAAGGGCTTATTTCCAGCAGTGCATCTCATTGACCCGCTTGCCTGCCTGCCAATGCTGTTTATCTGATTAATAAAAATGCCCTGCCTGCTACACAGCCATGAATGGTTTTTTATTGGCTGCACAAATTGCACCTACGGCTTCTCACTCTCTAGCCGCCTTGCTCATGGAAAACGTCAGCGCCAGTCCTTCATGCGCTTGTACATTTATAATATTAAATACTAAGCCAGGGGACATGGAATACTCACTGCACACGCCTACAGGTCATCGGAGGGCCTGGCTCCTAGAGCCCCCTGCTGCACACTAAGGTCACCAGCCACCGGCGGCCGTTGCCGTGCAGCCCCTGGCAGAAGTCCTGAAGTCGTTGTCGGCCGGGCCGTCGGCACCGCGAATTTGCTTTGTCCAGATGCCGAAGTGGGGGGCACCTGGCGCGGAAACATGACCCGTGGGTCAGGCTTGGAAGGGCCAGGACCCCCTTTCGACCCCAGCGAGCAGCTGCTCCCCGCTGCTATAGCCGCCATTTTGCTGGGCGGGGGTTGTGCCGCGGGCACCCCATCTGCCAGGCGCTTAGAGCCACTATGCGGAGCGGGTGGCGAAGGCCGCCCCACGCTGCTAGTGCTGCCGCTCCGCGGGGAAATGCCATCACCCGGATTGGAAGCCGAGGGAGTGGCACGCACCGCGGCTGCCGCTGCGACAGCCGCCGCCCGGGCCGCCACCTGGGGCTGCTGCGGCGTCACATGCAGGCTCCTGCCGCTACCTACGCTCGTCTTGCCCAGCTGACCCCCGGTGGCCTTGGACAGCAGCTGCGCCCCCGCCAGGCTGCTGCTGTGGCCCATTGCAGCGCTAGGTACCGGCGAGGGCTTGATGACACGCACCGTGGTGGTGGACCGCGGCGGGGCCTTCTTGACGAGGCCCAGCTCGCTCAACAGCTTAAGCTGGCCCCCCGGCTTGCCCATCACAGAGCTGCGCGAGTCAGCGCGGGGCTTGTGCAAGTAGGCCGACGTGAGAGAGGAGGTCTGGCCACGGGAGCTGCTGCCGCTGCATCTCCTCTTCGTGGGCACCAGCTTGTCAATCATCTGCGGGTGGCAAGGTGAGCCGCAGATCGCAAGTCGAGGAAGGCAACATGGCGAGTACACACCTCGGGAAGAAACGCATTAACGTTACTGTGCAAATCACTCCACCGACGCGAGTGCCTTGGAATCCTTCAGAACGGCCACTGTTTCTGTAACAACCTCCAGCAACAGTCTCTAGCAGAGTCACATGACCACAATCAAGTCACGAGGTGCTCCCAGAGTAATCGCGCTAGAGCTACCTACACGCGCGTAACCAGACAGCTCAGACCCGCGTTTTGAGTCATCTCCCTCTCGAAACGCTCCACCCGACATTGTCAAGGTGTGGTCACCTCCATATTTCTATGGCCAGCACGGACACCAGGATGTAATCGCACCTTGGCCTTCCGGCTTTCCTTGGCATCCTGCACCTGTTGCTGCGCCGCCGCGATGCGTTCCTTGGCGGCCGCTGTGCGCTCCTCCATCTCCGCCTTTCGATGCATGTACAGCGTGCGGTAATCGCCTGCTTGCCCCCATTGCAAAAGAAACACAAAACCAGCACAGCAAGATTAGAAACCTGACAGCCACGCCTTTCCAAAACCGCGAGGACAGAATTTCCACACCTTGCCAACACGGAAGCTGGCGAAGTTTAATTGCAACATCGGGGTGTCCAGATCTGAACATGAAATGATATGCTGCTGCCGAGCGCGTCGTAATCCCATCCCAATAATAGCTGCAACAGAAACGTTGTCTAAGGGTCTCACTTTGTCAGCTGTTGGCCCTCATAGCAGCTCTACACACTGACACAGCCGGTGCACCCCGCAGTGCTGATGCTGATGCTGATGTGCTTACCCGGCTCATCTGCGATACCACGGGGGTGTACGTAGTCCACTGGCTGCTCGCTTTCCAGTTCGGGAGCCTGTGCGATAAAGCAGAACGGTGCAGAAGCAAATGAATTAAACCATGACGTGTTTGTAAAAAAGAACTCGGCAGTTAAATCAGAAATTAAGAAAGTAACTGGGACAGCAAACCCACTGTCACAGCCCGACACAGCCCGACTGTCATGCGACCTGTGCAGGGAGGTAGAACCGTCCGGTGCCCGATACCGATTAAGTTATTTCACTGAGGAGTGTTTCCCGAAGGGGTTCCCATTATGTCGCAGCTCATTCATTATCCGCATCTTAGCATGTCGCCTTCCAGAGAGTGCTCACCTGGAGCCCACCGTCCCCGAAATCGGCTTTCAAGAGACGCTTCCAGAGGTGCCATGTGTACCATTCCAGGTTCCTGTCGCTACCAACCCTGCGGGGAGGAGCGGGTGCATTTGCAGGCGTATGCTGTGTATCCCTACCCATTTGAGTAACCCTTAACACACCCTTTCGAGCTGTGTGCAGCATACCGCTGCGCCCACAGACCACACCTGTCATCCTCTCAAGCTGCTCAAATAAGTCCCCTTAACCAGTTCACACTTACAGGGTTTCATCTTCAATATGGGCTAACTGCTCCGGGCTGCAATGCCACACAATGCTGCGCAGAGATTCGGCGTCCATAAAACCTACGTCGCCTGAAACAGGAAACTCTTTTAAGCGTCCCCAGCTTAGTACTCGCCAACGCATTCGACCACAAAACGCGTTGGGCCAAACTCCAGAGCGTATTTCTCACCTAGGTGCTGCCTATACCTAGTGAGAGTGCTCACGCAGCTTTCGCGCAAGGAAGGCACATGTATCGGCCTTGGCCCTTGAACTGGGCGCAGAGCTGCTACCTCGTCGGTCCCGTCCATGGCCACCACACGCGTAGCGGCAACCTGTAATGTTATTTGCTGGGAGGTAAACAAGCTTGAGGTCCGGGCCAATTACAGTTGAATAAAGGACACTAGGCCTTGCTAAGCAAGGCAAGATGATGAGTCTAGGCTTTGAGTCTGTTTGGAAATCAATGTAACACAGTTTTGCTACGACGTTGTGTAAAACCTTGCCTAATGTTTTTCACAAGGGGCCATAAATTGTCACCGCTCCAGAACCCCGAAATGTATGGGACAGCGTTGGTACCGTGATGCGTATTGTTACGCCCGGAATATGCCCCGTATAAATACGCCTACTACGTCTGGCGGAAACCTGATACGCCGCTGGGTATGGACGGAGATATTTTGGAGCCCAGCTCCAGCAGTCGTTGGGTAATGATATGGCTCGGAATGTTACTGCATAGCTCACAGCGTGATGTTAGCTACGTCTTGCATGCTTTGTAAATAACCAAAGGCGTTGCGGTATACACCAATTCTTCTCGTATTGTGGGCCAAAGGAGAGAATGGGTGACAACCCAGCGCCAAGAGGTCCAAGCCCGGATCCAAACCGGTATAGTTGATGCTCAAAAACCATGGATTATACTGTGGGAGAAGCAAGCAATTTGCGAAGGAATGTGTACACTGCAAGTTTATCATACCGCCGACAAGGCTAGGAGGGAGAGGAGGCAGAGGAGGGAGAGGAGAGAGAGGAGGGAGAGGAGGGAGAGGGCTACAAACAGGATTTCCCAAACACATCACAGGCATTCCAGGAAAACAAGTCGGCCTTTCGACATGTTTTGGTAGAGTGAGCTTGCCACACGAACATAACTCATCAACTAGCTTTGCTCCTTGTAAGCTTTCAATCGGTAATCGCACCTCATTCAACCGTACTCATACAGTTTATCAAAAATCTCATCACAACATAGATTCCAGCACCCGCAACCGCACCCACGACAGACATAGACAACTCTTTTGGGCAAGCCGACATACGCGTACCGTGTGGTTTTACGAACGTTTAAAAATACCGTAAGAATACCAAAGACACAGCAGGCATGTGGCGATGTCCACACTTGTCAACTCATACAGACTCAATAAGGGGCTGCGGCTTATGTCTCCTTGATAAGTAATTACGCAAGTTGGTTATGATGTAAATTCCAGCAACGGCAACTTGTGTGCACCCCATCGGCGGTTCAAGCAAGCGAGCCGACGGAGGCCCGGCCCCTGTCCACCTACTGGGGTTCTCTGCCGTTCTCTGCGGCCCCTGCCTATCACTGTACGGATCTGGGCCTTGTGTCTGGCATGTAAACTGCCTTATGGTGGCTTCCGGTGTCATATTACAACCAACCAGCAGCTTTGCACAGGGGCCAAAAGACGCCGTGTCTGTGGCCCCGTGGGGAGCTGGGGATCTATATGTAATTGCTGTCATGCACTACGCCAAACACGATTAATACAAACACGCGCTAGAGCGTGTTCCAATCATCTCGAGAGGCCTCGACCGCCGAGTCGGGGTCCTCTTCGGCGGCTCTTCGGCTTCTACACCACCTAGCAAGTTGAGAACTTGTCCCTCTATGTAGTAGCTGGTACACAGTACGGCGCACATATCAACTACAAATACGCGCAAAGCGCCCGACCAGCATCTTGAGAGGCCTTTTCAGAGGCCAGCTACTACATTTGGTATCGAGACCTCGTACATGTGTACGATCCTGAAGTTTAAGATCAGGTCAACCCCAACGAACCACGCAAAGAGGATATCGGGTACCTGACATGTATATAATCATCGTGGCATAAATGTACCTGTGGTAGTCTGGGAAGTTTTTGTGCCTGAGGAAAACTTAAGACGGCTTGGCGCATGTGTGGGCGGCACGTGGACTGGTCACCCACAGGCCGAGGGTAGGCACAGGCTGGTGTATATGACCATGTATGGCCATAAGGGCCTGAGACGGATACCTTCAAGAAAGGGAAGGAGTGATACATATAGACTTAAGGTCAGGCACTACTGGTAGAGCACGCACCAATGCCCCCGGAGGTTCCGGAATCGAGGCCTGTCAGGGTCGAGAAATCCTTCCGATGGTGGATGGTAAAAGTGACATAGTCGATGGACCTGGGAGTTAACTTGTGAGCTGACCAGGAGTGGAGTTGAGCCGCCGTCGATCCGGCAGATTCCGTTAGATGCCGGTGGTGGGTCTGGAACCTGAGCGATCTACTGAGAAGTTGGCTAGGGTGACTAGATGAGGGCATCATCATCTTCAGGGCAACGGTGCCTCGAAATACCGGGGAAGGCAGGGTCTGCCGGGTAGCGGCCGCAGGGTGAAGATATGACCCCCCTGTCCCACACATCATATAGCAGCTCCGTAACTGTGGATGGGCCCACCGCATTTTATAATGACATCTTGTACATTGCCACTACTGTGGTTTAAGGATGTGGTTGAATGCCGATGAACGTTGTGCTCATACAGGAAACTCGCCAAATGTGTGGTTTTGAGCTTCACACTTCTGTTTTCAGTAGTGGTCCTTCAGTGGAGTTCATTTGCGCAGCGGACGTCGGATGCAGCCATTGAACTTGCAGTGTAACGTGGCGCCTACTGGCACAGGACGCCTTGCACAGGTTGGGGCAGCATCTCCTGGGCCTCGGCGCGTGTGCCAGTGGGCTTGCGGTTCAGGGGCCAATTTTCGATGCTGCGTATAGCCATGCCATACTCAGGTTAGGCACTAGTGGTAAGGCACGGACCATTGCCCCCGGGAGATCTCGGGATCGAAACATGTCATGGTCAAAAATCCTTCCGATGGTGGAAGGTAACGTGCCCCTAGTAGACGGACGATGGTGACCTGGGACGGATAAGACTCTCGAGCCGACCAGGAATGAAGATGGGCCGCCATCAATCTGGCCAATTCCGTAGGATACTGGTGGTGGGTGCGGAACCTAATTGATCCACTTAGAAGTTGACTCATGTGACTAGGTGAGGATGCCCCGAAATACTGGGGAAGGCAGGGTTTCGCCGTGTAGCGGCCACGAGTGAAGATATGCCCCCCTGTCCCACACATCATACATGGTACACAAAGTCGCTCCTGTGGGATGCTCCGGCGGCAAGTCGCACGATCATGTACAGTGATGCAGGGAGGGTGTGGCTTTCGGGCCGTGCACATGTATGACACGCACAAATTGAGAAATGGTTCCAAATGTTTGGTCTGGTCTGGTGGCGCCTTTGTGTATATGAAGGTTCCGGGTTCGGTTCCTGGTCAGAACCCCGACATTGTTCGGGAGGTCTAGGTTTACTAATGCTGCTGAGGTGTGGAGATGATGTCTAGTTGATGGACTAAGTTTCGCATGCTGGGATGGTGGTGGTGGCTGATCTGTCTCTACGGATGTTGGGTGACTGGATGAGGAGGGGTCTAGTTGGCAGGACCCAACCCGCCGTCGGTCGTACGGTGTAATCAACTTTCAATATATATAGTACATGGCCTCCCGGCTTTGACGGACCCCCGCACTCGTGCGGCACTTGTAACTTGTAACTTGTAACTTGTAACTTGTAACCTGTATGCACAGTATGCTCTCCAGACCTTCGCGCCCTGGGCAACACGGCTTCATGGGATTGATCACCGCCTTCACAGTCTGCCGCAATATGCATTTGCACTACTTCTGGACCACTGCCCCGGGTGTAGGAATGTGACCGACTCTCATATACACGTGAAATATGAGAGTAATAGGACCGAGGGGGTTTCTGGCGCTTTGTTATTGTCAACACTGGGTATGTGGGGTTCGTCCAACCCTCCAAAGCCCTTGTCGAGATGCGACAAACAACTGCTGGTAATAACGGATGCTGCATGGACGTATTAGCTGTATATATGCAGCTAATCTATAATCGCTGCTAATTATCAAGATGTGCAGATGCATGCATATGGGATCATTGAAGCGGGGTGAGGTATGTGTGGCAGGGCTATCCATTATCTCATTGGTGCCCCTTCTGCTGCGTTGCAACCCATGCGCGTTTGCTGCTTCCCATGCGTGGAGAGGTATGGGTGTCAGGCTGCGTGAGGCACAAAGAGGAATAACCAATACTGATATGGCCCATTAACAATTGCAGACCATAAGGCAGGGCCCCGCTCTCTCGTCCATTCAGAAGATATCTACGAGGCAGCGAGGCTAGCCCCTACTTAGCTAGAAGCGCTTCTAGCTAAGTAGGGCTGCAAGAAACATACGTTTCATTTGCGCATGGCGGGCATCAGGCAAAGCTGCTATTGACAATGATGCTATAAGATCTCTTTGTTGCTCCTCTCTATAACATATGCAGTTAGGGCACCTGCAGCGGTTCGTTGCTGTGCATGTATGGGCCGGGTCGATCCATTGTGTCATGCGGCATACGTATATGCATATGGCGCACGGGATTTTCGCGCCGTCATGAATACCAGTGTGTATTACATGGTTGGGGTGTGCATAAACCCTATACCTGCTGACCAGGAAGCTGCCCAATACGGGCCGGGGCCACTAAAGAGGCTCTATGGAGTTGTATTCACATGCCTCCCAAACAGAGAAATGCAACACATGACACACACAACGTTGGGTCGATGAAGAGAAAAAGAAACGATAAGGATTTATGGCCACGTGAAACGGAACGTAGGTAGGCAGAGAGTATTATTTGTCCCCCAAAACGACCAACGAAACTGCATCAGATTAGTGAGACCACGTCTCGCAGTAAGAAGTTGCGAAGTTCTGTTGGACGCTCCGAGCAACGCCCTAGCTAGGCGTACGGAGTCCGAGCTCACTACTTTAGTCAC